CACAGCCCGGCCGCACGCGCCGCCCGCGCCCGCCGCCCGTCGCTGATTGGCCGAACCGGGCGGCCCTCGCGCCCGGGGCCCGCCCCCACGGCGCTCGCTTGTTTTCAAACTCGCCGCGCCCGCCCGCCTGCAATTTCGTGCCGGGGCCCAGAGCGACTTCCCGCGCCCGCTGCGCCCCCTAGGGACCCGCGGCTGGGACTGCAGCCGGCGCGCCGTCTCCGGGGCACGCGCTTCCCCGGCGGGCTTGTCTGCGGGGCGTGCTCAGGAGGGGCCGTGCCAGCTCCCTGGCTGGGGCCCCCGCGGTGGACCGCTGAGCTGCGCGTCCCGCCGGTGGAAAGACATCAGGAGTGGCGGCCCCGGGGGCACGGCCGGCCCAGCTGACCCCGGGGGAGCCGGGAGTGGAGGGCCGGTGGGCACGCCCCTCCCTCCACGCGTCCCGGGAACCTCCCTGCTTCCAGCGGGGGATTCTGATGCTGGGGTGGTTCCGAGCCAAGTTGCTGTCATTGCAAAGGACTAAGGCGCGCGGTCGAGTTTGCAGTTCCCAGCAACCGGAGGCGCCGTGGGGCTCAAACAAGCAGCCTATTCTGAGGAGTGGACATGGCTTTGGAGGGGCTTCCAAGGTCATGCGTGGCAGCCAGCAGGACCACAGCACAGGGAGCTTCCCGCTGTGCCGTGGGAGGATTCGCAGGAAGGGCCTGCGGAGGGGAGGATCGCACCACCCAGAGCCTGCAGGGGTGGGGAGGTGGGGACGGGCGCGGACCCTAGGCAGCATGTGGTAACCATTAGCTGAGTTTATGGGGTGAACTCAGCACGCTGGAGCCTAGGGGCTGGGATTTTTGTGGGAGGGGAACAGGGAGGTTGACAGTCCCGTCCTGCGTTTTTGAGAGTTGTTGGAGAGCATGTGATGGTGTTTGAGTGAGGTCATGTGTGACTAGAAGGCCAAGGAGCCAGGGAGTGTGCCCGGAGAGGCGCTGGCTCCCTGGAAAGTGCGCTGTGTCAACTTACAAGCGCTGTTGTGTTGCTTGTCTCTGCCAACAAAAAGCCCCAGGCAAGCGCATGAGACTTCGAGTGGGAGCCAATTCCTGTTTTCCTGTTCTGAGCTGCCTCTAGACACTTCCGAGTGGGCTGACAGTTAAGGAAAGTGGGGAAACTGAGGACCAACCAAAGGGTAGCAGATGGAGGTGGTGGGCTAGGAACTAAATCTGAGGACCCTGTCTTTGCCTTTTGCTTTTTCTTGTACATTTGCGAAAAAGCAAAAGAATAAAAGTGCGTCCGGACTGTGCCCTGGTCTCTGAGGGCCCGGGCTCCTACACGGGCAATGTTTGCTAGGGAAGAGAAGTGTCCTCTCAGCCGTGGCCACCTGAGAACATGTGGGCTCTGACAGGGAGTGCAGAAAGGCGGTATTTGCGATTCTGTTGCCAACTGTGTGGGCTTCTACAAACTTACAGGGTTATGTACAAACCGGAAGCACCGATAAATGAGCAACGTCAGCGGTACTCCAGGGGGGGCCAGCCCCGTCCCGCTTACCAGACTTCCATCCCTGATGTTTACAAAGGGGAAGTGACCTGTCCAAGGTCAAGGGTGCAAATCTTGCCCTCCCCACCGTGAAGCACCTCTGCTTTGCTCGGAGATGAGCGAGGGGCTGAGTATGTATCCTTGAGGCAGACTTGACCTAGTGGGTTAGCTCTGCTCTTCCAGGTTGTGAAATTTAGGCAAACTGCTGATTAAGTTTCTGGAAAAAAAAAAAAAAAAAAAAAAAAGTTGGAAATAATTCCCATCTCTCAGGTCTGTTGCAAGAAGATGACCTAATCCACACTCAGTAAATGCCTCATCTCCCTTTCCCCTGCTCCAATGTGGCAGTGCTTGCCATGGAACACCCTTGTTCTGCCGGTTCCAACTTTGCCCTGCAGCTCAGCTTTCCCTATTACCTATAATGCATTTCCCTAAACCCTTGTAGTGAGGGCACCAAAGGGACTCCAGCAGCTTCTTGACTTTTGCATACTCCAGAAATGTCCACAGCCTCTTTTCTTGCTGTGATTTAGCTTGCAGTTAGCAGAAAGCCTCATGCAAACTTACTTGCAAATGAGAAAATCCAGTCAGGGTATGGTAGGTTTGTGGGAGATCAAGACAGAAGACACCGCTGCAGCGGAGAAGGTCTGGGGACGCCTCAGGGAAATGTTTTATTCTGGTATCATCCTGGGAAAGTAAGGCTCCATTACGGCCTCCATCCTGCAGTGGAAGAAATGAAGCCAGAGGGTTTAATATATGCAAACCGACCACACTGAAGCCAGAGCAAGAATCTGGCTCTCCAGAGTCCTCCTCTAAGTCTTTTCCCAGCCAGCCTATGTGCCTTTTACAGGACCCATTAGTCACTATCTACAGGACTGTGTTTGCATGATAGCTAATCTTTCTCCCTCCTCCCCCCCCCCGCCCAAAATTAATAAGAACACCAAGAGAAGCCAGGCACGGTGGTACATACCTTTAATCCCAATACTTGGGAGACTGAGCAAGAAGATCATGGGAGGCTAGGGAGCTGTCTCAGTGGGGAACAGAGCATGCTACCTAAGCAGGAAGACATGTGTGAATCCCCAACATGGAGGCTGAAAGCCAGATGTAACCATAGGAGCTTATAACCTCAACCTCGGGTTGTGGAGACTAGAAGTGGGGAGAGGGGGGATAAGGCTGGAGACAGGGGGATGGCTGGGATTTACTGGCTACCTGCCTGGCTCTGGGCTCATCACAGAAACTGAGCACAAACTCACACGATAATACAAAAGGACCTGTATGTAGTGCTGGGTAAGGGACTCATCAAGTAGGTCTGTGACGTTTCTCCCCAGACACCAACTAGCCTTTTGCTTTCATTTTACCACCTCTATGAGCCCTCAAGAAGTGAACACTTTATTTGGATGAGTTCTCCTTTAAATCCCTTTAGCTGCATATTCCGGCACACCGATAGCCATAAGTTATTTTCGCCTTCAGAAATGAACTATGAGCCAGGCCTGGTGATGCAAGCCAGTCACTCCAGAGGCCAAGGCACAAAGGTGGCACATCCAAAGCCAGTCCTGCTGCTTAACAACCCTGTCTCAAAATAAATAATAAAAAGCGGGCCACATTACACAGCTCAGTGGAAGGACATGTGTCCAGCATGCACACAGGTCCTCTGTTCAAGCACTAGTTCTGTAAGAGTCAAGGGGGGGAGCGCTGTGGCTTTCTCTACTTGCTAATAGAGTTTCCCCCTGATCGATTACGTAGAGAAGAACACTCCCCAAAATGCTGTCTCCCCCATCCCAGTTAGAATGGTAATTAAGAAGGCTATCAATGTCTTCCCCTTGTCAGGTTTGTTTGCGTGTGTTCAGGCAAGGTGTCATTTTGTAGGGAAGGCAGACCCATGTGGCAAAGCCTCAAATTCAAAATGTATCCCCTACCTTAGCTTGCTGGAATGACAGGCAGACACTGCCACACTTGGCTAAGCCTTGTTACAATTTAAGGCCTGGCTGTTGTAGGTAAGGCCCATGGCTCATCAGCCTCACCTGGGGATAGACGCAAACTGCTTCAGCCCTCAGACCAGTAAATCAGAATATGAAGTTAAACAAGACTTCCACATAATTTCTCTTTCCTTTTGGGCACCAATTTCATCTTCTGTGTCTATTAAGAAGCTAGGGGTTTGTTTTTGTAAATGGTCCTGGGAATGTGCCAGCCAGCCTTTGAGAATTAAACAGGACGATGAGCAGTGCTGTCTCTTGCTCTCTTCTTTTGTTCCTCTCTTGCTCCATCCTCTCCTTATAGGGCATGACATGAACAGACCGCTTTTGTATATAACACAGCTTGGATACTTTTTAAAAGAAGATACGTAATTTCCTAAAACACCAACAGATACAACTGTATAGGAAGAACCCAAAGCATCATCACGGTGGGACAGGGCAGCGGATGAGGTACTGCTATCTAGAGAAATAGTTTTTCCTTGGTAAGAAAAATACACGAGCAAACACTACAGGAAGCTGAGGGCTGAGGAGATAACTCCAGGTGGGAAGCCCTGCTCTCGCCGAAAACCTGAATGCAGGCCCTAACAGCTGCCTGCAACTCCAGCTGTGAGGACCCAGCACCCTCTGCTCTCTATGGACAGCACACCCACGTGTACAAACCCACACACACAGACATATACTTGAAAATGGAAATAAAAACCATTGTTAAAAGAGAGGAAATAGCATTTCAAGAAACACAGAAAATATGGATCCAAAATATGGAAGCTCAAAGCCATATAGAAAAATGTTCCAAGACTTTGGCGTGGCAACTGTTTGGGACACTGTGAAAACAGACATTCGTGTGTTTTGGGTAAAGGTTAAAAGGAAAGAGCCATCTTAGAAAGAGATCTAGATTTTGTACTTACTTTTCTTACTTAAATTAGCATATTAAACGACAGGGTTTTATTATGTCATTTTCATACACGCTTTGTTTTCGTTGATCCTCCGCCACTCCTCACCCCCAAACCTGCTCCTGTTGGTCAATCTATAGCATGCACAGGTGATGCTCCTGTGTGCGCCCATACATGTGAGGGGCAGAGGTTGACATCTGGTGTCTTTCTCAATTGCTCTTTAC